AGATTAGCAACAAGACAAGGGTGTCCACTTTCACCACTATTATTCAACATAGTTCTGGAAGTCCTAGCTATAGCAGCCAGAGAAGAAAAAGAAATAAAAGGAATCCAGATTGGAAAAGAAGTAAAGCCCTCACTGTTTGCTGATGACATGATACTGTACATAGAAAACCCTAAAGATAGTATCAGAAAATTACCAGAGCTAATCAGTGAATTTAGCAAAGTTGCAGCATACAAAATCAATACACAGAAATCACTTGCATTTCTATATACTAACAATGAAAAATCAGAAAGAGAAGTTAAGGAATCAATCCCATTCACCATTGCAACAAAAAGAATTAAATATCTAGGAATAGACTTACCTAAGGAGACAAAAGAACTGTGCACAGAAAATTATAAGACACTGATGAAAGAAGTCAAAGATGATATAAACAGACAGAGAGATATTCCATGTTCCTGGATAGAAAGACTCAGTACTGTGAAAATGACTATACTGCCAAACATGATCTACAGATTCAATGCGATCCCTATCAAATTATCACATTTTTCACAGAACTAGAACAAAAAATTTCACAATTCATATGGAAACACAAAAGACCCCAAACAGCCAAAGTAGCCTTGAGAAAGAAGAATGGAGCTGGAGGAATCAACCTTCCTGACTTCAGATTATACAGCAAAGCTACAATCATCAAGACAGTATGGTACTGCCACAAAAGTAAAACTCTAGATCAATGGAACAAGATAGAAAGCCTAGAAATAAACCCATACCCTTATGGGTACCTTATTTTTGACAAAGGAGGCAAGAATATACAATGGGGGAAAAGACAGTCTCTTCAATAAGTGGTGCTGGGAAAACTGGACAGCTACATGTAAAAGAATGAAATTAGAACACTTCCTAACACCCACAAAGATAAACTCAAAATGGATTAAAGACCTAAATGTAAGACTAGAAACTATAAAACTCTTAGAGGAAAACATAGGCAGACCACTCATTGACATAAATCAAAGCAAGATTCTTTATGATCCACCTCCTAGAGTAATGGAGATAAAAACAAAAGTAAACAAGTGGGACCTGATTAAATTTAATAGCTTTTACACAGCAAAGGAAACTCTAAGCAAGGTGAAAAGACAACCCTCAAAATGGGAGAAAATAACAGCTAATGAAAAAACTGACAAAGGATTAATTTCCAAAATATACAAGCAGCTCATACAACTCAATACCAGAAAAACAAACAACCCAATCAAAAAGTGGGGAAGAGACCTAAACAGACATTTCTCTGAAGAAGACATACAGATGGTTAACAAGCACATGAAAAGATGCTCAACATTGCTCATTATTAGAGAAATGCAAATCAAAACTACAATGAGATATCACCTCACACTGGTCAGAATGGTCATCATCAAAGAGTCTACAAACAATAAATGCTGGAGAGGGTGTGGAGAAAAGGGAATGCTCTTGCCCTGTTGGCGGGAATGTAAATTGATAGAGCTACTATGGAAGACAGTATGGAGAGTCCTTAAAAAACTAGGAATAAAACCACCACATGACCCAGCGATCCCAATCCTAGGCATATACCCTGAGGAAACCAAAATTGAAAAAGACACATGTATCCCATTTTTCATTGCAGCACTATTTATAGTAGCTAGAACATGGAAGCAACCTAGATGTCCATCAATAGATAAATGGATAAAGAATTAGTGATACATATAGACAATGGAATATTACTTAGCCATAAAAAGGAATGCATTTGAGTCAGTTCTAATGAAGTGGATGAACCTAAAGCCTATTATACAGAGTGAAGTCAGTCAGAAAAAGAAAGATAACTATCGTAGTCTAATGTATATATACGGAATCTAGTAAAAGGGTACTGAAGAATTTATTTACAGGGCAGCAATGGAGAAACAGACTTAGAGAATAGACTTAGGGACATTGGGAGAGGGTGAGATGTATGGAAAGAGTAACATGGAAACTTACATTACCATATGTAAAATAGATAGTCAACGGGAATTTGCTGTATGGCTCAGGAAACTCAAACAGGGGCTCTGTATCAACCTAGAGGGGTGGGATGGGGAGGAAGGTTCAAAAAGGAGGGGATATATGTATACAGTCCTGGGTGTTCATTGGGAGAACTGATGCTGAAGCTGAAACTCCAATACTTGGCCACCTCATGCAAAGAGTTGACTCATTGGAAAAGACCCTGATGCTGGGAGGGATTGGGGGCAGGAGGAGAAGGGGACGACAAAGGATGAGATGGTTGGATGGCATCACCGACTCAATGGACATGAGTTTGAGTAAACTCCAGGAGTTTGTGATGGACAGGGAGGCCTGGTGTGCTGTGATTCATGGGGTCGCAAGGAGTCAGACATGACTGAGTGAACTGAACTGAACTGAACTGAACTGATATGTATACCTATTGTTGATTCATGTTGAGGTTTGACAAAAAACAACAAAATTCTGTAAATCAATTATTATTTAATAAAAAATAAATAAAGTTTTTAAAAAGTGTTATGTCTACATAAGAATTTTAATGGGAAAGACTTTTATGTAGCATGACATTGAAAGGTTGCAGTTGCAAGCCTTGTGCTACACCAGGATTCGTGACCTCCAGAGGAGAGGATTTCAATCTCGGGCCAGAGACAAGACTTGACTACTCAGAGTTTTTTGTATAGCAAAATTTTATTAAAGTATAAAAGAGACATGGAAATCTTCTGACAAGGACATCAGAAGGGGACAGAAAGAATGCCCCTTTGTTAGTTTTTACCAAGGCATTTTAGGTCTGTTAGAAAGCTGCTAATCAGATAAGGGAAACATCTCAAGGCTGAGGGAGTTTCACCAGGCCCTTCTCCCAGAATATGCATTTTTGAGATAGAATGGCACAAGGTGTGTCACCCACCAGCCATAAAACAATTCACAGGAATACTGGTTTGTTGAGCCATTATCAGCCCAAGATTTGAGAAAAGAAAAAAGGTTAGTCTTAGGTAGAACAAAAGGCAGATTTCAAAGCAAATACATAGTTCCATAAGAAAAACACTTTGGTTCACTCAAGGTTTGAGAAAAGTCCAAGCCAGGCTTCAGCAATACATGAACCGTGAACTTCCAGATGTTCAAGCTGGCTTTAGAAAAGGCAGAGGAACCAGAAATTAAATTGCCAACATCCGCTGGATCATCGAAAAAGCAAGAGAGTTCCAGAAAAACATCTATTTCTGCTTTATTGACTATGCCAAAGCCTTCGACTGTGTGGATCACAATAAACTGTGGAAAATTCTGAAAGAGATGGACCACCTGATCTGCCTCTTGAGAAACCTATATGCAGGTCAGGAAGCAACAGTTAGAACTGGACATGGAACAACAGACTGGTTCCAAATAGGAAAAGGAGTACGTCAAGGCTGTATATTGTCACCCTGCTTGTTTAACTTATATGCAGAGTACATCATGAGAAATGCTGGGCTGGAAGAAGCACAACTGGAATCAAGATTGCTGGGAGGAATATCAATAACCTCAGATATGCAGATGACACCACCCTTAAGGCAGAAAGTGAAAAGGAACTAAAAAGCCTCTTGATGAAAGTGAAAGAGGAGAGTGAAAAAGTTGGTTTAAAGCTCAACATTCAGAAAACTAAGATCATAGTATCCGGTACCATCATTTCATGGGAAATAGATGGGGAAACGGTGGAAACAGTGTCAGACTTTATTTTTTGGGGCTCCAAAATCACTGCAGATGGTGATTGCAGCCATGAAATTAAAAGACGCTTACTCCTTGGAAGGAACGTTATGACCAAGCTAGACAGCATATTAAAAAGCAGAGACATTACTTTGCCAACAAAGGTCCATCTAGTCAAAGCTATGGTTTTTCCAGTGGTCATGTATGGATGTGAGAGTTGGACTGTGAAGAAAGCTGAGCACCGAAAAATTGATGCTTTTGAACTGTGATGTTGGAGAAGACTCTTGAGAGTCCCTTGGATTGCAAGGAGATCCAACCAGTCCATCCTAAAGGAGACCAGTCCTGGGTGTTCATTGGAAGGACTGATGCTGAAGCTGATACTTTGGCCACCTGATGTGAAGAGTTGACTCATTGGAAAAGACCCTGATGCTGGGAGGGATTGGGGGCAGGAGGAGAAGGGGATGACAGAGGATGAGATGGCTGTATGGCATCACGGACTCAATGGACATGAGTTTGAGTAAACTCCAGGAGTTGGTGATGGACAGGGAGGCCTGGCGTGCTGCGATTCATGGGGTCACAAAGAATTGGACATGACTGAGCGACTGAACTGAACTGAACTGAAGTTTAGGCGGAACCACGTGTCATCAACACAGAATTAAAAGAAGCCTCTTTTAATTTTGTGTAGAGAAGGGGTGGGGAGAATGTCTGCCACTTGCAGTTTATTTACTCCTCCTGCCTGAGGACTTTGGGTCTTCCTACCTGTTAACCTTCTCAAAACTAAGATTTAATATTAGGTTAAAGAAAAAGCAACATATAGAACAGTGGGTTCAGTATGTTATCATTTGTATAAACATATTTGTTTCTCTATACATAGAATTTCTTTGAAAGACTATGTAAGAAAAATTTAACACTGGCTGGAGAAAACTGGGGGAAGCAAAGGGTGAGACTGACTTTTCACTATACACTCTTTTGTACCTTTGAATTTTGAAATATGTGATTATATTACCTAGGCTTCAAAAAATTGTTTTTAAAAATTAATTTTTAAAAAACCCTCCCACATAGAGCAATATGGTAGACTGGATAACACCAAACCTTCCCACCGTAAAACACCTAATACTCTGGGAACATAAATATTTTTTTAATACTTTAAAATTCATGACTAAGTTGACATGAAATTAAGAGAAAACCTCAAAAGTCAGAATTATAAGAGAATACAAAACTAAGAAAGCCAACAATGCTAAAGCATGACTGCACTAAGGCATCGGTAAAATCCTCCACAGAAGGACTTGGTGTTCAAGACTTGCTCTCACAAAGGTGTCCACGTCACATGTTCATTTTTGCTGTTAGGCTGAAGGCAAAATTGTTGTTGCTATTGTTCTTGCTGTGGTTTTCCAAGCCATCCACAGGCTTGGCACCTATAAATGGAAAATTGAATCTCTGAAATAAATGAGACTGTGAAACAAGTGTGAAATGGTCAAGTAACCATGACAAGTGCGGGTCTGTCCGTCCGTCCTCAAGGTGGTGAGATTCCCCCATCCCATCAGACTGCAGGTCTCACTGTGCGCCCTTCTTACAAAGCAAACAGAATGAGCTTGTGACGGCCTTTGCAAAGCCCAAGAAAAATGTTGTGGTTATTCTGTGTAAACATAACAGTGGCTTTGAGAGGAAAAGACATTGTGAATTTTGGGATCTGCCTAGATTTTTGATACTTCACATCTAACGACATCATAGTGCCAAAGAAAGGTAGCAATTTTTCTTCCCCAGCAAAAATATAGCCAGACCTATTAATTAACAAAATAACTAAATTGGCATCTAGCTTTCCCTTGACACCCCTTTCTGTTCTCTGATAGAAAAACTAAAAGAGGGAAGGGAGACAGCACAGTGCTGGAAGGCAAGTACCAGGCCAGTAGGGTTTGCCACATTCACAACCAGTCGGTCCATGTAGAACAGAATGGGCAGACCCACCCAAAGAGAGGGCCTGAGCCAAAGACCCACAAGAATCCCTTCAACTTTGACAATTATCTTCCATTATTGTTAGAAAACCTTGTTACCATTATCTAAATCCCCCAGTAATTCCTTTTCTTTAATCAGTCGTTTTCACATACCCTGGGCTTGACTGAAGGTCTTTGGTGTTTGAATTACATTATAAGCGACCCAGTAAGGCTGGCGGAAGCGATGGAAACATAAGCTGACATTGTTTTAACTTTTATCTGTTTTTGGTCTCTCAGCAGGAATCAGGCAAAGAATTTCAGAAGAGTCTACTAATCTCTTCAAACTGACAGTTGGGCTAAGGATGTCAGGAAGCCCTTGGCTAAACCTCACCCTTGAAGAATAGGGGTATCATATTGCATTGGCTGGTTTTTTTTATTAAGAAACCTAATATATTTTGGAAGATTTTCTATTGCTTTTGCTTCTATTGTTGTGAATGCTTTTGTTAAACCCAAGGAGGAAGTAGCAGCTGACAAAGTGGGTTTGAAGTCAAACAGAAATGATTAGAAGCCAGCTTTTATGCCTTAGTTGTAGCAGTTCCTTCATCCAAATACACTGTAATTTCATAACCCCACAGCTTCCATTTCTTAATATTTATGAATAACACTATGTCAAACATGTTATATGAAAATTTTAATTTCCAGCACTCACCCTCCTTCTTTTCCAAAAGTACCCTGATGTTGGGTAGGCAGGTACATCCATCATGGCGACCTCAGTCCCTTTGTTAATGATATGTCTGAGGGGCAGGCATGTTGTCCTATTTTGAGCAATGAAATGAGAAGTTAAGTGTTGTAGAGGCTTCTGGGAATGCATTTCTTGAAGAAGGTCTGTTTTTCCACTTCTTTTCTGCTTGGCCACTGTCACGTAAGAACAGGACACTTTGAGTTGCAAACAGCTGATAGCGCCACCATCAGGAGAGACGACAAACTGTGGATTGCAGAATGGGAAAAGAAAACTCTGAGGTCCTTCCTTATATCATGGATACACCAAACCACCTCTGGGACTTCTTACCAACAGACTTTTTGTTGCCTGAGTGCCAAGTCGCTTCAGTTGTGTCTGACTGTATGATGTAATGGACTGTAGTCTGCAGGGATCCTCTGTCCATGGGATTCTCCTGGCAAGAATATTCGAGTGGGTTGTCATGCCCTCTTCCAGGGAACCTTATTTCTCCTGCATTAGCAGGCAGGTTCTTCACCACTAGTGCCACCTGGGAAGCCCAGACTTCTCGTTACATGATCAATAAATATCTGACTCCTGCTGCTATATTAATTGAATTTTCGGCTGCTGGCAGCTGAAAGCATTCGATTAGAATTACCTACAATCTAAATAGAAATGATTTCCTAGAGTAGGATCCTAAGTGGGGAATTTCTAAATTATTGATACATACACACAAATCTCACTCCAGAAGAGATCCAATTTACACTCCTATGACCATAGTGAGACACATTCTCACTGCAACCTTCTCAACACTGAGTCACCCAAGGAGTAAGAGCTTTTTTAGAAAAATCACTGCTAATTTGAAGGCAAACTTACAACTCAAAATTGGTATTTGTTCATCTACATTTGGTGAAGCAAGGCATGACCAGACTTGGTGTAAGACAGCCTAGTGGCATCCCACCCAGGAAAGGAGGGGTGTGGTTGGTCTCGAGCTTTGAGAAGCATTCCTTTACACTCACCGTTCAGACTTTCTAAGAGTGAAGATGCCTAGAGCTGATGGGACAAAAGAGTTGGTAAATATTACACAAAGAGAGAAAGTGGCACAAAAGGAACTTCCTGGGGCTTCTTATTGTCTCCTAGGTTGATGGATTCTAACATGATTGGTCTGGGGTAGGGTCCCAGGCATGGGCATTCTTTTGACCCTCCAGCTGATTCTAACATGTAGACGATGTTGAGAGGCACTGATATAGCCCATATTGAAGACTTAGTTTTTTAAATCATTATCCTATTCACCTTCAAAAACTATTTGAAGTCTCCATGGAGTCTCTCATTGGAAAATATTCCTTGACCCTTTTAGTTACAATCTTCATTTGGGATTTTTTCCCGATCAGATGACTGGAAACACCTGCAAACAACTGCAAGTCCAGTGCTCAGTGAACCTCCTATATCTAATGGTGATGAACTTCAGGCCTGCCCAACCCCAGGAAAACCTCCTCTCCCTAAGAAACTCCCAGCTTCCCAGCCTGGTGCAAAGGCCTCACCGTTTCTCCCCTGAACATTTTGTCTTTTTTTCCGCATGGACCCAGTCAGGACTGACTGACAAGAACGAACAGGAGAGGGCAGCTTCCCAAGAACTCTGGAGGAGGCAAGTGCTGGGGAGGGTGTGGTGGCCGTCTCTGCTCTTTTTCTTATGCCTCCAGTCAGTGCTGGAAGAACACACGGGTGTGGAGACAAAGTTACAACAGCTCCAGTCCCAAGAATGCTGCCGGAGCTCTTGGCACCCATTCCCGAACCTCTCTTTGGACCACTAGAGGGTGTGTGTGTGTGCACACGCTCAGTCATTCAGTCATGTCTGACTCTTTGCAACCCCATGGACTGCAGCCCACCATGCTCCTCTGTCCACAAGATTTTTCAGGCAAGAATACTAGAGTGGGTTGCCATTTCCTCCTCCAGGGGATCTTCCTGACCCACGGATCGAACCTGTGTCTCCTGCACTTCCTGCATTGATAGGTGGGTTCTTTCCCACTGAGCCACCTGGGAAGCCCTACTAGAGGTGGTAGGGACTTATAACTTTGGCGTTCAGGTATTCTATTAAAGTCAGCTGACCAAAGATTACTAGGTCAAAGATTACCTGCAGTCAAAGATAAAGATAGTAGATTTACTGGGCTTGCAGGAGAGGATGGGCCCAGAGGCTCAGGAGAGGGGAGCTGGGAGGGACTTCTCACAGGACCACCCAGTGTTGAGTGATTCTCAGATGGCATGAGGAAGGTGGGGGGCAGTCCTAGCCAGATGCTGTCAAGAACAGAACATTTTGGTAACTGGACATCTAATGTTATCTAGAAACCAAGGGGCACTAGACTTGGTTATAACTGATGGAGAGGTAGTAGTCAGATTTATCAGAAGAGGGGTGTCAGTCAGTCACTCTTGTGTTTAGAGAATGGCCTTGCTCAGTCTCCTTCTGAATGTTTTGGAGGGTGGGGGGCTTGCCTGAACATCGCTGCCATGCAGGTGAGAAAGCCAAAGGTCTGGCTGCCAGCAGGTCTGGCTTGGCTTTCACATTTTTGGTTTGAAACCCCATGTTCTTCTTGAGAACTCAAAGAGATTATGTCATCATTTCTTGCCTCTGCAATCCCTGTTCTCTTCACAACAGTGACTATGTGCTTTCAGAGGGGGGTCAACAATAAAACTTCTAAATAAAATGATCCCAATCAAAACTGTGAAAACTGCTCACTGCACCCTTTTTTCATCATGTAATTGAATGTCTTCACATTCTCTGAAGATGCATCAGTCAAGGAGTTCCTGTTTCCAGAAATCCCCACTGTGCTTGGGGATAACAGAAATCTGATCTGCTTTGCCTTAACTAAACCAGAGGTCCCTTTCCTTATGTAATGAGAACCCAGAGATGGTCAACCTGGATGGGTTCAGTGGCTCCACGATGCTATCAGAGACTTGACTCTTTCCATCCAACTTCTCAGCCATTCAGGCTGCAGTTGATGTCTGGGGGTGATGTACAAGACAGCAGCTTCACCTTCATTGTGATGATTGTATTCTGAGTGAGAAGAAATGGAAGAACAAAAGACAAGCACTCATATGGCTTGAATCTGCCTGTTTGAAGAGCTTTCTGGGAAGCCTCATCTATTAACTTCTGCTTCTGTCTTATCCAGCATTGCAATGTCACATGGTTACCCCATATGCAAGTAACGCCAGGGATGTTGTTTTCCTAGCCTGGCTTTACTCGTTCAGTTCAGTTCAGTTGCTCAGTTTTGTCTGACTCTTTGTGACCCCATGGACTGCAGCATGCCAGGCTTCGCTGTCCCTCACCAACTCCAAGAGCTTGCTCAAACTCATGTCCATTGAGTCAGTGATGTCATCCAATCATCTCATCCTCTGCCATCCCCTTCTCCTCCCGCCCTCAATCTTTCTGATCTGGAAAGCATCAGGGTCTTTTCCAGTGAGTCACTTCTTTGCATCAGGTGACCAAAGTACTGGAGTTTCAGCTTCAGCATCAGTCCTTCCAATGAATATTCAGGACTGATTTCCTTTAGGATTGACTGGATCTCCTTGCCATCCAAGGGACTCTCAAGAGTCTTCTCCAACACCACAGTTCAAAAGCATCAATTCTTTGACACTCAGCTTTCTTTATGGTCCAACTCTCATCATCCATACATGACTACTGGAAAAACCATAGCTTTGACTAGATGGACCATTGTTGACAAAGTAATGTCTCTGCTTTTTAATATGCTGTCTAGGTTGGTCATAGCTTCACTTCCAAGGAGCAAATGTGTTTTAAATTCATGGCTGCAGTCACCATCTGCAGTGATTTTGCAACCCAAGAAAATAAAGTCTCTCACTGTTTCCATTGTGTCCCCGTCTATTTACTGTGAAGTGATGGGACCAGATACCATGATCTTAGCTTTCTGAATGTTGACTTTTAAGCCAGCTTTTTCACCTACCTCTTTCACTTTCATCAAGAGGCTCTTTAGTTCCTCTTCACTTTCTGCCATAAGGGTGATGTCATCTGCGTGTCTGAGGTTATTGATATATCTCTGGCCAATCTTGATTCTAGCTTGTGCTTCATCCAGCCTGGCATTTCACACGATGCACTCTGCATATAAATTAAATAAGCAGGGTGACAATATACAGCTTTCATTACCCCTACCATAGTTTGGCCTCAAGCCAAACAACAGGGAGGGAACACAGCTCCACCCATCAACAGAAAATTGAATTAAAGATTTACTGAGCATGGCACAGTCAGCCTCTCCCATCAGGAAGCTTCCATAAGCCTCTTATCCTTATCCATCAGAGGGCAGATAGAAGGAAAACCACAATCACAGAAAACTAAACAAACTGATCACATGGATCACAGCCTAGTCTAACTCAATGAAACTATGAGTCATGCTGTGTAGAGCCACCCAAGACAGATGGGCCATGGTGGAGAGTTCTGACAAAATGTGGTCCACTGGAGAAGAGAATGGCAAAACACTTCAGTATTCTTGCCTTGAGGACCCCATGAACAGTATGAAAAGGAAAAAAGATATGACATTGAGAAATGAACTCTCCAGGTTGGTAGGTGCCCAATATACTACTGGAGATCAGTGGAGAAATAACTCCAGAAAGAATGATGAGATGGGGCCAAAGTGAAAACAAAGCCCAGTTGTGGATGTGACTGGTGATGGAAGTAAAATCTGATGCTGTAAAGAACAATATTACATAGGAACCTGGAATCTTAGGTCCATGAATCAAGGTATATTAGAAGTGGTCAAACAGGATATAGCAAAAGTGAACGTCAACATTTTAGGAATCAGTGAACTAAAATGGACTGGAATGGGTGAATTTAATTCAGATGACCATGATATCTACTACTGTGGGCAAGAATCCCATAGAAGAAATGGAGTAGCCCTCATAGTCAACAAAAGAGTCCAAAATGCAGTACTTGGGTGCAAATAACAGAATGACCTCTGTTTGTATCCAAGGCAGACCACTCACTATCACAGTAATCCAAGTCTATGCCCCAATCAGGGATGCTGAAGAAGCTGAAGTTGAATGGTTCTATGATGACCTACAAGACCTTCTAGAACTAACAGCCAAAAAAGATGTCTTTTTCATTAGAGGGAACTGGAATGCAAAAGTAGGAAGTCAAGCCATACCTGGAATAACAGGCAAGTTTGGCCTTGGAGTACAAAATGAAGCAGGGCAAAGGCTAACAGAGTTTTGCCAAGAGAACTCACTGGTCATAGCAAGCACTCTCCTCTAACAACACGAGAGATGATGACTCTACACATGAACATCATCAGATAGTCAATACTGAAATCAGATTGTTTATATTCTTTGCAGCCAAAGATGGAGAAGCTCTAAACAGTCAGCAAAAATAAGACTGGGAGCTAACTGTGGCTCAAATCATGAACTCCTTATTTCTAAATTCAGACTTAAATTTAAGAAAGTAAGGAAAACCACTAGACCATTCAGGTATGACCTAAATCAAATACCTTACAATTATACAGTGGAAGTGACAAATAGATTCAAGGGATTAGATCTGATAGAGTGCTTGAAGAACTGTATATGGAGGTTCATGACATTGTATGGGAGACAGTGATCAAGACCATCCCCAAGAAAAAGAAATGCAAAAAGGCAAAATGGTTGTCTGAGGAGGTCTTACAAATAGCTGAGAAAAGAAGGGATACCTGGCTTACTAATCCCTAGGCCAAAATCGAGTTCAGTCAGCAAGGTGGAAGTAGAGAGTGGATGTTCCCCACTCACCAGTGGCTGAGTCATGTACCCTGTAAACCATCCTTTATTGAGAAGTCCTTAGGTGTGTTAGTTATATATTGGAGGTGGAGGAAATTACTCCAGAATGAAATGGCTTAATACAAGAAATGTTTATGATTACACACAATCTCTGAGAGTTGAGGTTCTGGGAGCAGCTTAGCTGGGTGTTTCTGGCTCAGAGTTGCTCATAAGGCTACAGGACTTGAAGGTTAAATGGGCTTGAAGGATCCACTTTCAGGATGTCTCATTCACACAGCCCTAGGTTGGGGCCTCAATTCCTCACCCCGGGTGCCTTTCCCAGGGCTGCTTGGGTGACCTTACAAAGTGGTAACTGGCTTCTCCCAGAGAAGACAAGGAAGAGACAAGGAGTGTCATGATGCCTTTGATGACCTGGTCGCACACCATCGCTTCCATCATATTTTATTTGGTAGAAGCCAAATCACTAACTTCAACTCACACTCAAGGAAAGAGTGATTAGGTTTTGCCTTTTGAAGGGAGGAGTATATATAGTTGTGGAGACATTTATAAACCACTTCCTCTGGGGCGGGCTGCCCCTGAGCTGTTCTGCCCCCTCTCACCTCACACACTCCTTTGCATCTCTTCCTTCCTCTGCTCACTCTCCCTCTTTCTTTCTCCTTTTCCTTTCTTTTTCTTTTCCATTATCAGGTCTCCTGGGTTTCCTCCTCTATGTCAAAACAGCCTCTCTCCCCCAAAAGCCAATTTCATCTCAAAGCCCTTCTAAGACTCTAGTTGCCAGATGCAATGGGGAGCAAATAATGATTATGGGGTGATTCTTTTTTGTAGTTTTGGGGGGTTTTACTATTTATTTTCATTTATTTATTTGGCTGCAAGATCTTTTTTTAGTTGCGGCACATGTGATTTTTAGTTATGGCATACGGAATCAGTTCCCTGACCAGGGATCGAACCAGGGCCCCCTGCCTTGGGACCACAGAGTCTTAGCTATTGGACCACTAGGGAAGTCCCTCAGTGTTGATTCTTAAGGTCTGATCAGGGCTCTGAGAACCAAAAAGATCATGAACATCTACCCTCTTCCTATGTATAAACAGAAAACCAAAACAATACACTGCAAAAGACAGATAATGAAGTTCAACAAAGTTCTGACTTTTCCCAAAACTATTTTGATAGGATTTTTCTTAAAACATGAAATATCAAATTCTGTCCTTGCATTTTCTGTTGTTGTCTCCCAGCTTTGCAGGAGCTCAAAACACATGTTTAGCATGTCCTGTAATTCAGCTCTGGTGAGTCACATGCTAAAATGTTAACAACTGTGAAATGAGCTCTGGGCTGCCCTGACTCAAAGATGCTGGATGTACGAGGAATCCATATAATATTCTCAAACTGGTGCCCATCACACACACTGCCCCAGCCATCCTTGTGGTCCTGGCAGCTAATAGCTGCTGTGACTCAGGTTGCTAGTTATCTCCTAATATCTGTCTTTCCCTTCTTCTGTAAATAACAGAAGTTCTCGTTTTTCATTGGGCTCATGTCTGCCTGGAACAAAGACCATCTTTCCCAGCCTCCTTTGCCGTAGGTATGAGCCTGGTGGGCTATGGTCCATAGAGTCGCAAAGAGTTGGACACGACTGAAGCGACTGAGCACACCGCAGCACATGATCGTGTCCATAGGTCTGGCTAGTGGAATAGAAGCAAAGGTATTACACTCGATATCTGGGAAATGTCCTTAAAGGGAAAAAAAGTGCCCTTCTTTGCCTAGTTTTCCTTCCTTTTATCTAAAATAGGAACAAAATTGCCTGGAGCTCACCATCCATTTGGGGCCATGTGGGTCCACTGAAGATGGCAAAATAACAAAGTAGAAAGAGCCTGGATTCTTCATGATCTTGGGCCTTCAGTAGCAGCTCAGGACTGTTTATCCAATGAGTTTCATTAACATGAAAGGGAAATTAACTTCCATATTTTTCCAACCAGTGTTAATGGGTTTCTGACACTTGCAGCCGATCCTAATCCTAGTGTTACATTTCCTTTACAAACCTGCCCACTGTGCATAGGGACTCCTCATCTCCTCTCTGATGGTCTGTCTAGTTTCTGACTTTGCACTTTCCCTGTCCTCACAGGCTCTGATCTTCCTGATCATTCTCTGTTTCCTAAGCATCTCCTTTTGAGTCCTGGTCTGGGAAGTAAGTGTACTTTCTCACCCCACTCCAGACTCCTCCTCTCTCACTGTCCTTCTGGTTACATTGTAGGAAGCCTGGACTAGGGCCCAGCAGGGGAAAGGAAGAGGCTGCACAAAGCAGAAATGACCTGGGGTGACAACTTTTAGGGGACAGCTCACCGGACAGTCCAGTCTGTCCAAGCAGGATCCCTCCCTGCCCTCTTGACCTTCCCCACAGCTTCAGTTTACTTTTGGTTTTAAATTATACACTTAAAAAACTATAGTCAGTGTGGAGGAGTTGCGGGACTATTTTCCATTTGCAGTTTACTGTGAATTTGTTTAAATCCAATTTATTTCATTATTCATTGTTTCATTAAACATTTACTAAGAGCCTATTCTATACCCTACGTGAGAGACACAGACACACAGATAGATACAGATACCTTATTATCTGATAGTTCTGGAGGTCAAAGTCCCAGACGGGTGTCACTGGACTAGAAGCAAGGTGTAAAGACAGCTGAGTTCTTTTATGCAGATTTGAAAGAATTCATTTCCACTCCTTCTGAGCCCCTAGAAACTGCCCACATTCCTTGGCTCCTTTGCCATCTTTAAAGCCAGCAACAGCTTCTCATTGCATCTCTCTGACCTTTCTTTTCATCACTCATCTCTAGCACAGCAGCGAAAGTTTCCCTACTTCAAGTTCACAGACTTAGATGGGCCCCACCCAGGGAATCAAGGATAGCAGTCCCATCTCAAGGTCTATAACTTTAATCACATCTACAAAGTCCCTTTTGCCATGTAAGGTACCATATTCATAGGTTTCCAGGATTGGGGCATATATATCTTTGGGGGCTTTAAATTTGCAAGCCCCAAAGCCACTGCCCACAGCAAGATTTCTTAAAAATCTCTTTTTAGGGACTTTCCTGGCAGTCCAGTGGTTAGGATTCCATGCTTCTAGTGCAGAGAGCATGGGTTGAATCCCTGGTAGGGGAAGATACCGCAAGTCATACAGTACGACCAAAAAGAAAAAAAAAGTCTTTAAAAAAAAAATCCCTTTTCCTCCCCCAACCACTTCTTCCCAAAGCTCCAACTGCTTTGCACCTCTGTC